CAAATTACCCTTCAATTTCGCCCTCCGAAAATAAAATTGCAACAGTAAGAGGACCTGACTTGATTGAGACAATACATCAAACAGACGGCGTGCAAGTTTATTATCTTCACGTAAGACTTGAACAATCAACCATTCGAGGTTGCTTAATCGGGAATAACAAAGGTAAAGAGAATGAAATTGGAACCTTTCCGGTAATCTTTGTTGTTGGGAACAGAATCTTGAGAGAACCATGCCGCTCGTGGACTTTATGGACGGGCTTGGGCAGGAAATCTTGTTGGATCCACCACCATTGAGAAATGGCTTTTATTGGACATGATGAATTGTGGGCAATGACAAACCCACCCAATGCTAAATATAAATGTGAATTTTTTTCGAGACGAAAATAAAAGTTACAAAGAGAAGGCGCAAGGGCAAGAAGATGTGGCAGAAGCAGGTGTTCTGGAAATCACAAGCATGCTTCTGAATATTAAACATCAACGTTACTTGCATTCCAAAATATGTTATAATGCACCCTCTTTTTTCTTATTTTTCACATCCTAGATTAGTTAATGATGATTTTTTTTAGAATGTTAATAACTAGTTTCGTTCGCATCACATAAAGAAGGGTAAACAAAGTTGAATATTCTTTAATATGAGTCCATTTTTTGGATGCCTTATTAGAAATAGTCCACTTTATTAAAACATTACCGTATTGTAATTCAACTTTATTTTATTGTTACCTTTTTATCAAATTAATTTTTTGATTAAATTAATAAAATAAGTAATGTTATTCCTTGTATTGTATGAAGATTTTAGTTTTTTATGTTTGAATGGTAGCATGCATCGCCTCTGTTCTATAATTAATGGCCACATAGGTCATGGCCCTCGTTATATACGTCCATTAAATGAAAGTTCCTCCATCTCTACGTGAAGGGACCATTATTGCCAGATGACGTAATCTTGATGATGTCACTCTGTTATTGGTTATTAAAACCCTAAACAAAGACCTTGCAACGCGCATGGTTTTCCAACCACTCTATGATGTCACTCTGTTATTGGTTGACTGTTTGTAGTTTGATTGGATTAATCTAACGCTAGCATTACTACGTTAAATTATAGAAAATATTAATATACAAATTTGTGAAAATATTAATATAACTATCTCGGTTGATTTTGATGAAAATTTGCTAAAATTGCTGCTTAGTACTACGGTCCAGTCGTATTCATTTTCACTTATAGGTAAGAGATCTTAAGTTCAATTTTTGCCAAATGCAAATTTGAACTATATTATTGCTAGTTTATTGTGAGGCTTAACTCACTCTCCCACTCCTTTAGTGTAGATAATATCGTTTGTTAAAAAAAAAAAAAAAATTGAAACTTTAGGAAATGTTATATGGCAGTCTGTCAATCTTTATTGATATGTCGAAAATATCGACGAAAACTGTCGATTTTATCCAAAATTTAAGAATTTCTCTAATATTTTTTGAAGTCTACACTTCACTCCCCTCCATATCTTTCACTGATTTTTCTGATATTTTCACAGAAATATTAACTGTATCGGAGAAATTCCAAACTGAGGTTGCTCGTTCGTTCTACCACAAACATTGTCCAGGGCAAGTCATGTTGGCTGGATTTGCTCTCATGTATCTCATCCCGAGAGACCACTAAGCCCATCTCGCGGCAATTATTCTTGTGCTGTAAGTGAATGAATTTTTTCTTCTTCTATAAGTTATGAGGAAGCTAAATTAATGGATCACAATAAGTGAGATAAATCTGGCTACCACAATATCGAGATTTTTCCAAATTTACGTTTTATCAAACTGCCACCACATTAATTGGACTACTTTTGTTTTTAGTTAAGGAAAGACAAAGGATGGGTAGCTGTATGATGAATCACAACATTAATTTAATATGGTCCATTAAACACGTTTTGCAAAAACATATTGAAGAAGAAATGTTATATGATTAAAAAAAGAAGAAGAAATGCTTATATATAGGTAGCTTATCATCGTGCTATTGTTATAAGAAAATTTATTTTTTATCTACCAGATGAGCAAGTAATATGTATTGAGTTTTCTTATTCATCTACAAGAGGCAACTCAACCTGCAAACTTGCTTCTTTTCCTGTATACAAAACAGGTGCGAATTCGCTTCATTTTTTTTTCTTTGCATTTTAGATGAGAAGTATTGTTACTGATACTTCAACAAATTATCATGCACACATTCTCAAAATAATAATTTCCCTTCAAAACAAGTTAGACGACATATTTTTAGTACCAATAACAGCTCACTTTTCAATTTATAATCTTTCGTCTGGCTTTTTTCTTCTCCATTGCTATGTTTGCACATATCCATCGGTTTGAAACATTTAGTGTCATATTTACTCCTTAAGGGAATGTTGTAGCTTTCTTCTTAATATCTTTGAATTGAATAGTTTGGATGTGTATATATGTTTAAGTTTCATAAATATTCACTATTAAGTACAACTATGCACTGATATTGTCTTCAATTAATCATTAGGCCTAATATATGGATAGTATCTTCTTTTTTTTTTTAGCTGAATTTTCCTTTTTTTTTTTATATATATATTTTTTTTCTCTCTTTAGACCATCTCCAATGCTTGGATAGCAAAAAAAAAAAAAAATTAGGTTTTAGCCCATAAATAGTTTTTTTTGCTCCAACCCTTATGCCTAAAATTTTAGCCCCAGATTATTAAATAATGAATTTAGGTTTTTTTTTTAAATTAAATTTAAAAAAAAAAATTTATGTAGACTATGAAACACTATTTTTTTTTTTTAAAAAAAATTTAACCTAAAAATATTTATATTCCGATAAATATTGAAAAATCACTAAATTGACACATGACATGAAACACTAAGGAAGAATATGTAACACATAATAGAGATTTGTGTGGTTGTTTTGGAAATGGGAAGAAATGATTTTGGAAGATGGTAGAAAGAAAAATTGGAAGAATTGTACGAGAAAAGTGAGTTTTGTGTGGATCTTTGAACAAATACATAGGTATTTATAGAGTTTTTGGGTGAATTTTGAGTTAAATATATTTTAATTATTTTAGCCGTTGGATTTAAAATTGGACCGTTAAATTTGATTATATTCGATCTCAACCTTTGGATTCAATAAATATAAAACTATAAATTAAATAAATTAAAGTGGATCGTTGGATCTCCAAGATCCATTTGAATTCTACTTGTTGAATCACCAAAAGGAGCCGTTGGGCTCGTGTCACAGGCCGACAGCAGCCTGACATCCCCGCGTGGGTGGGCCAGCAAAGTTGAGGCGGGTTGAGTTAGTGCGCGTGTGCTAGGTTGTGAGCGCGTCTGGGCTGGGCTGGGCGAGTCCGGTCCACTCCTTTTATTCTACTCTCACACGTGGGCACCACACTAAATCTTGGGGGGAATTGAATTTTTTTTTTTTCCAGTTCTAACACTTAATCCTATTTTGGCACAAGGGTTGGAATGAAATGGGAGGAATAGAAGGGAAAATTTGAGACTTACTCCAAGTGTTGGAGTTGGTCTTAAAGTTTAAAATGACCCCACTTTGTTTGCATTTATTACCCCCACCCCCACCATCTTCATTTTTGTTCACTTTTTGTCTTTTGTATTATTATTTTTTTTCTTGTATACAAGATAGATAAGCATTTTTAGTTTTGTTTTTATAGTAAACTTGATATAAGTTCAATTTTGTGAGCCATAATTGTAACATCCCACATCGTCCAGGGAAGTGTAACTTGTAAGCCTTATATGTATATTCCCATCCCTACCTAGCATGAGGCATTTTGGGAGCTCACTGGCTTCGGGTTCTATCGGAACTCCGAAGTTAAGCGAGTAGTACACGAAATAAATCCCATGATGGGTGACCCACTAGGAAGTTCTCATGTGAGTTTTCCAGAAACAAAACTGCGAGGGCGTGGTCGGGGCCTAAAGCGGACAATATCATGCTATGGTGGTGGAGCAGGCCCGGGATGTGGTGGACCCCGGGCTAGGATGTGACAATAATTAGAAATAATCCGCTTTAAGTTTTTGTTCCGATGGATTACATGTTAGTTTATTTTTATTTTCATACCAAATATACCCTAAAATTTATAAATTGTAGTAAATATGTAAATACACATAATACCTTAATTATAGGATTAATTGTTTTATAAAATTTACAGTCATCGATTATTAATTTGTAGCTGAATTTTTCTCCTTCTTTTTTGTTCTAAAACTTTTTTTAGTGTTTTTCTTATCAATATCATTGTTTTCTTATGAAAATCATATTGATTCTATGAAATTCGTTGATGTTTATTTAACTATATAACATATGTTTTTAATGTATCTCTCTATTATTTTTTATATTCTACCTATATCACAAATTAATTGTATTAATTTACCTATATCATAAGTTTATCTGCCTATTCCATAGGTTTTTGTTCATAAGTTACCTATAATATTGATTGATTTAATATTTTTCTTAATCTACCTCTATCACATATTAAATGTATTATCTACCTGAATCACAAGTACCTATATCACAATATTTCTTTGTTGTTGATAAAAATGTATTATATTTGTTTGCTTGTGAGTTTAAATATTTTTTTTTAAATTTAAACTTAACTCTTTCCAATTGCATAGTGACATCACAACTCTATAAAAATACTACACGACGGCAAGTTTGACTTATTATTTGTAGATACTAATATTTTGTTCTATATTTTTTAAGGGTAGATAGAAAAAATTAATTCAATTTGACCAAACGCACTCCTCATCATAAATATATAAGACAGAATTGATCAAATGCGCTCATCATCATAAATATATAAAACAAAATTTAATTTTTTCGGGTGTATTTATTTGCAATGCTTGGATTAATTTTTATTATTATCTAGATTAGTTTTGATTATTGTCATGTTTTCTCAATAATTAGTTGAAGCATGTTAAAAATATCATAGCGAAGAATTTGCTTATTATTGTGACAGTGATCATCATCTCGTCGTCAACAATTACGATTTGGAACAACAAACACATCAGCATTAAATGGAAGGAAGCAGCGAAGATCCATATGACATCGAAAACCTTTTCACTCCGTTACTAATTTCAATGGGTCAGACTCAGGAGAATGATTTGCCTCCCTCGCCCGATCCGTGTTGTATCTACAGAGTTCCTGAACCAGTACGGTGTGTAAATGAAAAGGCCTACACACCTCAACTAGTCTCTATAGGCCCGCTTCACCATGGCAAGGAAGGCTTAGAAGAAATGGAAGGACACAAGAGGAGGTACCTGCAGTATTTTTTAGAGCGGACTGGGGTCAGCGAGAAAGATTATGTAACGAAAATAAAGGGCAAGGAAGCGGAATTGCGCAGTTGCTATGCGCACACCATTGAGTTTAGCAGTGAAAAATTTGTAGAAATCATTCTTGTGGATGCCGCGTTCATCATTGAGCTTTTATTGAGGGGGGACGGGGAGCATATCAAGCCCGATAGCAATGACCGCATCTTTTACAAACCAGGGTTCATAAATTTTATGGTACCTGACATGCTTTTGCTCGAAAATCAGCTGCCATTTTTCATTCTTGAGGATCTCTTTTCCTGGACCCCAAAAAGTGAAGAGGATCTCCTTCCCATTGCGGATCAGGTGCCGGCTACGAAGCTTTCAGTACTTGGCCTCTCTTACGAGTTCTGCAAGAAATCAACGGGTTTTTATATGGAAAAAGACAATTGGGAATGTCCTAGTTCTAAAGTACATCATTTTGTTGATTTGGTTAGAACTTTACATCTACCAACGGCGAAGGGGAACTCAAAAAATGGAGAGCAACTCGAACTTCTAGGTATACCGACCTTGACGAAACTACACAGGGCTGGAGTCAAGTTTCGTCCGGTGAGACCAAGCGAGAATCTATTTGATATACGTTTCACTGATCAAGACGGAATTTTGAAAATTCCACATCTAATAATCGATGATGACACAGAGCTTGTACTCCGAAACCTTATTGCCTTTGAGCAATGCCATTGCACTCCGAATTCCTACTTTTTCAGTGATTATATCATCCTCATTGATCATTTGGTGAACACCCCAAATGATGTGGAATTGCTTGTCAAGGAGGAAATTGTTGAAAATCTGCTTGGTGACAACAATGAGGTATCTACTCTGATTAACAGGCTTTGCAAAGGTGTTGTGTTTGACAGAGATGAATTCAGTTATGCTAAGCTTACAAAGGACCTCGACAACTACTGCAAAAATCCGTGGAACAAATGGATGGCGGATCTGAAACAAACATATTTCGACACACCTTGGAAAATTATTTCCTTCATTGTTGCTACATGTGTCATCGTTCTCACTATCACACAAATGGCGTGGACTTTTACTCACTAAGTTAGGCACTCCGTTTTCCATTTCATTTTTCTTCCTGTTCTTTTCCCACTTAATTTCTATTGTGCACTATAATGTAAATTTGCAATGGCTTGTCTATGCGTGAAGTTAAATAATAATGCTTTGAGAACAAGTGCCACGACTTGTCGCCCTCTCCCACTTCTCCTTCGTAGTGGGGTAGTTATCTAAGCACGTTCCCTTGCATCCGTATATTTCTTGTGGGCTTTTTACCTTGCACAACACTTTCCCCTTGGATGATTGGTAGTGGCCCATGAGTCGAAACCAGATTTTATCCTCCCACAGTGCCCCATTTTTCCCTTTTTTACGCATGTGAAATAGGGGAAAACTGAGTTTTTCGATCTCATGGGGCCTTGAAACTACACTCTTTAAGCCAAGCTAAACTTGAAGCACTTTTTACTAAGGCCAAATTTGTGGAATTTGCTTTTTCTAAGAATAAATTTACTGAAGGTAAATTTACCGAAGCCTTCATTTCTTTACGAATGAGGACTGACATCTTCCCACTATGATTTTCGAACGAGGATTTACGAAACTAACACATTACGAAAGTGGACTGACATCTTACGAACTGACGAAATTTAACTGAGTAGGTTGTCTGACAGGCTATACATATATGTACCTAAGCCTTCGTTTCGTTACGAATAAGATCTTCCTACTATGATTTTCGAATGAGGATTTACGAGTGAGGACTGACACGTTGACATGATTTACGAACGAGGACTGACACGTTACGAAAGTGGACCGACACGTTGACATGATTTACGAACAAGAACTTACGAACAAGGACTAACACGTTACAAAAGTGGACTGACATCTTACGAACTGAAGAATTTAACTGAGTAGGTTGTCTGATAGGCTATACATATATGTACCTAAGCCTTCGTTTCGTTACGAATAAGATCTTCCCACTATGATTTTCGAACGAGGATTTACGAGCGAGGACTGACACGTTGACATGATTTACGAACGAGGACTGACACGTTACGAAAATGGACTGACATCTTACGAACTGACGAAATTTAACTGAGTAGGTTGTCTGACAGGCTATACATATATGTACCTAAGCCTTCGTATGAATAAGATCTTCCCACTATGATTTTTGAACGAGGATTTACGAGCGAGGACTGACACGTTGACATGATTTACGAACGAGAACTTATGAACAATGACTGACATGTTACGAAAGTGAACTAACACCTATATCGTATTTATTATATAGATCTCTATCCCATCTTGTCTGCACACCTACATACACTTTTACCTGATTTACACACACATACACACACATATATACATATATTTATATATATTTACCACGTATGTTTCCTGCTCACACATATAATCCACAATGCTAGGCTGCACACCTAGTTGGCATATCTAATCTGCACACCTATATATACATATATCAATACACACACACACACACACACACACACACACACACACACACCGACATACTTGCTTCTCTCACTCTCTCTCTTTATAAATATATTTATAAAAAATAGAGTTTAGTCGGTACCATTAGCAGCCGTGCATTAGAGAGACCATATTTGTCTTCATCTTTTTTTTTTTTTTTTTTTTTTTTTTACCTATTCGATCTCAAATTTTCGATCTTGGATGGGTCTTTGCCCATTTGATCTTAGGTTTTCTTTATCCACTCGATCTTAGACTTCCGATCTTGGTTGGGTCTTTGCACATCCGATCTTGGGATTTCTTTTCCCACTCGATCTTAGATTCTCGATCTTGATTGGGTCTCTGCCTATCCGATCTTGGGTTTTCTTTTCCCACTCGATCTTAGATTCTCGATCTTGATTGGGTCTTTGCCCATCCGATCTTGGGTTTTTTTTTCCCACTCGATCTTTGATTTCCGATCTTGATTGGGTCTCTGCCCATCCGATCTTGGGTTTTCTTTCCCCACTCGATCTTATGTTTTCGATCTTGATTCGATCCTTATCCCTTCGTTTTAGATTTGAATGAAATGCAACTTTATTTATCAAATAATAAGGAGATGTCAACAGACATCCAAGGATACACCATTCAATATGCAGGGAAGATAAAAAGGGATTTACCCTTCAACATTGCTGGAAACAGAAATTTAAATACAGAAAACATAAACACGAAAAGCTAAATGTGGTACTTTCTCAAATTAATTGCATTCTATGGGCACGACACATACTGACCTGTTTCAACGTGCATGAGTTTATAAGCTCCCTTTCCAAAGGCTTAGGTCACCTCGTATGGTCATTCACATATGCGTCCAAGCTTCCCTGCATTCAAATATTTTGTGTTTTCCATGACCTTTCTCAATACCCATTCTTTTAACCTGAATCTTTTCAACTTGACCCGCTTGTTGAAGTAAGCAGCAACTTGGTTCTGATAGTTCGCAAGTCGTAGTGTGGCGATTTCTCTTTGTTCCTCGACTAAGTCGTGGGTTTCAAGGTAGGCACAGTAGTGCCCGTTGGAGATGCAACAATAGTGGTTGTGGCCTGCTTTGATTGGATAAGTTCTTCTTCCTCTAGTTTGATGATTCCATCAGCCCAAGCCATTATCTCCCTCATGTCTAATGGTGGAATTTCGATTAATGACCTACACATCTTTGTTCCAGGCAACACCCTTCTCAGAATGCCAAAGACGCAGTGTGAGCTGCCCTCCTTATCTTCCTCTTCTGCACGTTTTCTCTTGGTGCCGACCACATTTTCCACTGCTTTTCTTGCTTCAGCCTTCTTCAATGCCTCATTGGCTGTCTTTTTTGTTTCTCGCAATTCCCTCGTTAGCTTTCTAAATTGTTCCAAGGCGAAACTGGGTTCAGTATTTTGGGAATGAGACCTCACATGCACCGATCGAGTCCTTGCATCTCCGAAGGGATTCAGAACTTCTTGTGCGGATCCAGTTATATTTGTAGCTTGATTTTGTTTCTTTTCCCACAGATGGCGCCAACTATTGGAGCGAGATTTCTCACAAGAAGAAATGCCTCCACAGATTCGTTGACCACAATCCTCACGTTCGCCGAATCCTTCGCTAAAGATACCCCTGAATAGTCTTCTTCTATAGCATGCCCGGGTGGTACCTACAAGAGATACTCCGATGCTCAAGTCAGTTGATTGATTTTCTATTCTCTGGATTTTCTCGAGTTCTGATTACGTACCTTGTTCTTTGGCTCATCTCCCTATTTATAGGATTGCATGCTTGAGGATCAAGCACCACGACCAATCCTCCTTTCCCACTTCTTTAGTGGTCATCTGTCATATGACTGCATGCTTTGAGAACAAGTGCCACGACCTGTCGCCCTCTCCCACTTCTCCTCCATAGTGGGGTAGTTATCTAAGCACGTTCCCTTGCGTATGTATATTTCTTGTGGGCTTTTTACCTTGCACAACATTTTCCCCTTGGATGATTGGTAGTGGCCCATGAGTCGAAACCAGATTTTATCCTCCCACACTAATTTTATTAAATCACAAATTTGAAACGGATTTTAACATGCAATACAGCCATAAGATAAGAATCCTTTTAGACTAACCTCGATGGTGGGCGTCGCAGGAATCGTCGGATTATGGTCGGAAAACTCAAATCCAATGTTGATGTGAAATTCAACGTGGAAGGGTGAAGAAGAGGAATTTCAACTGGAAATATCTGGAGCACAATGGCTGCTTGGTGAGGATAAGTCGCTCCAGAAGGTTTCCGAATGGAGTTCGATGATGGGGAACTCTGAGTAACATTGGTTTCAGATGACCGGTGAAAGGGAGGAAATTAAGAACGAGGGAGGGCTAGTTCGAAAGGGACATAAATCCCTAACACTCAAAAGCTATAAAAACCCAGAAATCCCTAAAAAACCCACAAATTCAAAACCACAAAAATCCAATCTAAGAGATCCAATCACCAAGATAGTTTAACATGAATCACTGCCATCCAAACACAACCTGTAGTTCATAACTTTTGTATAGAGTAGAACTCTTACATGCAGATCCATCGCTTCCTTGCAACTGCCAATACTGATCAAACTAAACCACTTCACACCCAACATGTTCTCATGCCTAACAATCACTACAATTATTTTGATTACATTCAAGCCTAGACCAACATTTTCTTACATCAAACAGCTGACTTTAGTCATTCATGGTTTATTACTTTTGACAAAAGTTTTAGATTAAATTTTCGATCTTGGTTTCCCAAATGGTGGTCTACTCACGGACTAACAGCTAGTTTATTGCCGTAAGATCTTATGCAAGTCCTCTTATCTGGTTTCCAGAAAAAAATTTGATAGCAGCCGTTTCGACGACAGAATTTCACTTCTACCGTTGTTTATGGCAAAATACAAAGTCCCTTGGATTATGAAATGAAATTTTGAAATTGAAACAGGTGAAATTTATTGTTCCCGATGGGTTAAATGGTGGGATAAGTTCAACCATCAGAAGATCATCAACCTGGTCCTCTCCGACTTCCCCATTGTTTCTGTCCCAGCGGTTTCTTCACCAACAACAAAGGCACTGCCAGAAATCTCAGAACAAACTCAATCCTTATCATACATTAGTCCTTCATCATCCCTTAAAGGAAAGTCAAAATCCTTTAGTTCAAAGAAAAAAGAGAAATCTTCACAACTCAAAGATTTAGCCCAGAAGCTCATGGCAGAAGCAACTTTGCTGCATGAAGAAGACGTAGAAATAGACTCTGACTCATCCGACGCTTCGTCACAACTTCCCGCCAAGTGGGCGAACTATCAGGATTCCCAAGACCCATTTGAAATTTGAATTCAAAAAGTAATAATTTGTAATCATTTCAGATTTTTACCCATGCAAATCCTACAGTAGAAGCCATGTGATTTTATCACCGAAAGTAGCATCAGCAACAACAACAATCATTCCAACAAAACACTATTCATGAATAGTAAAACCACTTTTACTATTCATCCATCATTTCAGAAGCAGCATCGTGATTGCACAATGAAAAGCATCATCATTCAATAGCTTTTACAGCTTACAACACATGCAAGCGGGATTCCTGGCCTCAAACATCTCATCCAATTCTACAAAACCAAAGCTCAAGCTTTATTCGAAGCAGGCTGAAACTTCTGCGTATTCTCAACAGAACAGAAGATCAACAT